CATGTGTAATAAATTTAGCACCTTTGGCAAACTCCTCTCATTGGAAGTTTTCACCCCCTAATCTAATACACTACTTAGAAATGACTTACAGTAGCATTGTATTCCTAGTTGCCTAACCAGGAAAGGGAGGTAAATAGTCCTCATATTTCATGTACTATAAAGAGACACTGTGGATCTATTCCAGAAACCATATTTTTCATTTTATTTATTAGCTGGTTTTAATTACACCTCTGGAGAAAGCTGAATGATGCCCAAATTGCAACACAGACGTCTGCAGAATAAATCATTGTTCTGATCTTAATGGCAGCCTGAGTATATCATAATGTTTTTTCTGTTTTGTGCTTTTGAAGTCACTTTCACTAAAATTAGAAAATATAACTTAAAAATATTCTAACAAAATTTGATGTCTTGTGTTCCTAACGTCTCAAAAGCCTCTTTTAAAGAGACAGTAAAACATCAAAGGGATAGTAATACCATGGTCATTGTCATATTGGTTTTTAGCCTATTAAGTTCCTAGAAAGCAGTGAAGGGCACTTAAAGGACAGCTGGAATGAATGTCAAGAGGCCTGAGTCATCTTGTTACTTGGAGACTCTTCCTTTTTGTGATCTTGTCTGTTCATCTATAGAAGGGACTGAGTCATCATAATTTATGTGTTTCTTTTAATCTCCTCTTTTTTATTTATTATCTAATTTATTTTCCTGTTTACTATCCCAGGCTAATTATTCTGAAGAATATAAAAAGCAAAAAGGATAAATCATACTGACTTTATCTTTAAAACTTTGTACCAAATTTTATATGCTAAAATGTTTTCATTTACTGATATACTATTTTTTCTTTAAAAAGTAATGATTTGGAACCATTATCTTACTGATGTGTGTGTGTGTGTGTGTGTGTGTGTGTGTGTGTGTGTGTGTGTATGGAGGGAGAGAGAGAAAAATGGAGAAACAGAGAAGGAGAGGGAGAGAGACTGACTAAAGTAAAAAAAGAAGATGGATTATGTCTATTCAAGTAAGGTAGTGTTAGATTCTTACTTTTCCCATGCTTTGGGGGTCAGCACTTATTCCCTTTAGTAACCCTTCACCATTTTCATACTCAAAGTGCACATATTTTATATTCCTTTCACAGACTCCTCTAGTCCACTTTCAAAAGCAGAAACTGGATCATATAACAAATATACTTGTGATAATAAATTTGGGGTGTTAATTAACTTACCTGAGTTGAAGGACAACTTCCAAACCATGAGCTAAATAAAAATTTTCTTGTTCACAACCAGACTGTGTCCAATATTTTGTTACAGTAACGCAAAGCTGACAATGACGTCATTTATATTGTTGATATTTTAAGTGTTGGCTACATGTTTTACTTTCTTACATTTATACTTAATTGTGGACCGATGACTAGAATAAAGGACTGCATTTTTACCATTCAGTCCAAACTGGCAATTGTAGTGGAAAAACTTGGAAAGTTTTTCAATAGCAAAAATAGAAGCATGTAAGTGAATGCTAAAAAAGAAAGTAAGCCAGGTGGTATTTAGGATTTCTTTTTTTTTTTTTTAAATCATATAAAAAACCAAACCAGTAAAGCCACAACATTAATTTCTATAAAGTTACTCAGATAATATGGGGAAAGAAGAGAACCTACCTAATTTTTTGTTTGTTTGTTTTAGGTGCCAATATGTTAAAAGATTACTCGCAGAGAAAAGCATGTAGCTACTTTCATTTCAGTGGATGTGATTGTTAGTCGTGATATGTCAATTTAATTCCAGTAAGAACTGTCTAGCAGATTAGTAGAACATGTGTTTGCATAGGTCATGGATACATGGCTTAAGTAATATATATCACCTCCCACCTGTCCTTTCTGGCACTGTTCCCTCCTTCTCCTCCCCAGCTGCTATGAACTAAACAGCTTTGCTCCGCTATGCCCTTCCACCATGATATTCTTCCTTGGACCCAGTTGACCATGGACTGACCCTCTAAAACTAAGTGATAATTTAAGCCCTCCTTTAAACTGTGGGTGTCAGATATTGTGTCTGAGCAATGGGAAAGCTAACATAGAATATTGGTATCACAGAAGTGAGATCATTGTTGCACTGTACCTGATCCTGTGAACTGAAGGCCTTTGGAACTACTTTGTGGGAGAGGCTGGGAAAGATTTAGAGAAGTAGGCTAGCGAGGCCCTAGAATTTGTAAGTAGAGTCTAATAAGGGATTCTGTTCTGAGAGTTCAGAAAACCAGAATGCTGATAGGAATATAGACAGTGCAGCTGGCTCAGAAGTTAGGAACAAGGACTGTATTTGCAGATGGACTACACACCATGTGTGTTTTGCTCTGTGATAAAATTTGTTCATATTTTTCCAGTGTCCTGAAACTGCAGGAGACTGAGATTGAGGGTGATGGACTTATTAACTGACCTGATAGAAAAAAAAATTCAAAGCATCCCAATATTCAAGATGTGGCATGTTACATCTAGCTGCTTCTCACTAGATTTACAGTGAGCATTTAAGGCAAAAGACAGAGCAAAACTGTTTGAAAAACTTAAAGATTGGCTCAGAAGGAGCCATGTGTAAAGTTGGGTCAAAATTAAGTGTGGATGCTAAAAAGACTAGCAGCATTGTAAAGAAACAAAGTGTTTTCTACAGGAACAAGATGAAAGATACCTTGATGGCATCTCAGGAATCCAAAAGCCCCACTCACTGTAGGCCCAAGGGTGGAAAATTATCAGTCTTTCATTTGTGAAGAAAGTCTCTTCCATTTAAGAAGAGTCTGTTTAAGAATGTTTGGAGAGAATTGGTTCTCGGGATTGATTTTAAAGTGCTCAGCCATCCAAGCATTCAGAGACAATTTCTACCATGGTTCATGATGAACACAGACTTTGACATTGCAATATGATATTAGTTTTACTGGTATGCAGGATATAATAGTTGGGGGGTTAGGGACATGACTTCCGAGATTTCAGAGAAAGGGATGAAAGGCCAGGAAAGACACCACTGAGAGAATAATCCATAAAGCTGAGGAATAGAGCCAAAGAGAGTTGCAGAAAATGGAATGTCTTTTGACAAAAGCTTGTCAATGTTGGCTGCAACTGGCAAGGTCATAGGCATGGGCATTATCAATCCCATTGGAACTCGCTTTTTACTACTATTTAAATGCCAAGAATAGAATTGCAGAATTTAATATTTTCCCTGCTGCATTACAGTGTTGTTTTTGTTTAATGCTTTTCTATCACTCTTTTTTTTCCCCTTTTGAAATGGTAATGTTTACCCTGTGCCATTGTGCCTTGACATTGTGTAGGCCATTCTTGGTTTTCACAATTTCACAGCTCAGAGTTTGCCTTGAGTGGCATAAGAGACTTGGACTTGAAAATTGCTGAAACTATTGATACTTTGGGGAAAGGATTATCGTAATTCTAGCTGTATACAGGATGGTTGTATTTTGTTAGGTGGAATTATGAACTTGCCATTGTCTTTCCTTGGAGATTAAGTATGATTTAAGGAGCTGTGTTTAGGTATGAAGTTGCAAAGGAATGGATTAATCATAATGTATCAACTTTTTTGAGTAACACCCAGCAGATTAGTAGTGTGGACTCCTGGGTGTGTTTGGGTGGGCTATGGAGGTGTGGCCTTGGGTACTGTATATGGTTCCTCACTCATTCTCCTCTGGTGCTATTTTTCTTCTCTGTTCCCCAGCTGTCTAGAATGAGCATATTTGCTCTGAAATGCGCTTCCACCACCGTATTCCTTTTTATGGAGCCAGTAGATGATGGACTGAACTCTGACCCAATTTAAAGCTGTCCTTCAGTTTGAGGGTTTGAGATGTTGGGTCTTAGTGATGAGGGAAATAAAAACAGCTGACTCATGCAGCACGTGATTTGTAGAAGACATATATTTAAATAAACACGCTGGTCATTCGCCAGAATCTTTTTGCAAACCTTCTGTCTCAGAACCTATAGAGTGAAGACTGGTATAAAGCTGCTTACTAGCACACACAGGGAAATTTTAAAACACTAGGATCGCTGACTATAATCCTACAACTGTGGACATACTCAAGTGTTTATAGCTAATCTACATTTTGACTGGTTTGAGGGTACATATCCATTTTCAAAGAATACTTAAAATGAGGTTTACTTCTTGAGACTTCCCCATATGGGCTAGACAGAAATGAGGGCAGACAAGTAGGTGAACTGCACTGAGGTATTGCTCAACAATACGTATATCCTCTTTGAGTCATGTAAGAGATCTTAAAGGGAGTCAGAATTACTTAAAGAAGTAGACTAGGGTCAGAAAAAAAGAATATGTTGGGAAAGATCTTGAGAGCCTAGCAAAAGGAAAAGTTTGTGGACTCCAGTAGAATGCCTGCTCACCAAGGGCCATTTGCTTATTACTACTACAGTAAACAGGATGACTGACCCAAAACAGTAAACAGAATTAGGCAAGACAATTGATTAAAGAAACACACACGCACACACACACACACACACACACACACACACACACACACACACACACACACACACACACACACACACACGCACAGAATGTTTCAGATCTTAAAAGACGAGAGGACAATAAATGCCAAAAAATCTCCTAGGACAGCCTTTCTCTTTTATCAAGATTTTAAAAGGACAGCAAATAAGGAAAGACTCTGAATGATCAACTTCTGATCTTTGTACATCAAGCAGAATTTATGTTTGCTAAAGAAACTTTATAAATTATTGAATTCTATTCACATGTAGCCCTCCCTGCCACCAGATATCCATTAGTCAAGGGCTTATGAGAAAAAACCAAAGGAGTTATAGGGAAATAAAGCAGCTTTCTCTTCCTTATATATCGGACAATGGTGTGAGTGATGCTGACCCTAGCTGTCCATGTTTTTGCCTCCTGAAAACAAAATTGGTATCTTTGATTATCATTTTTCATTGATGTAACAAATTATTTTATCACGGCAATATATAAACGATGTTAACGAAAAACACACGTAGTAAAAAACAATTTGTCACTTACCAGAATCTTCCTTCTAAACTCCTTATTAAATATTTCTTTCAGGCCAGTTTTGTACAGGAAAGTTTGGTTTAAAATATGTTTAGAGTATGCCATTTCTGCTGGTGATAATTATATCAAGTACTTTAAATTTGAGTGATAATTCGCAAACCTCCTTTTTAGTATATGACAAAATGATTGGATGTGGTGAATGTGCCCCCAAGCTGAACTCAGTAGGTAATTTTTAAGCCACACAGATTATTTCTGTAAATTATTCATTATTATTAAATTCTTTAAAATTAAATAAATTACTTATTCAAGGAAAGAGTGTAAGAATAAAAGGAGGTACAAAATTTTTGAGCCAAATCCAAAAGTATTAATAATTAAAGAAATAAACAAGAAAATTTATGAAGCATTTTTGGTGTTAGAAGATGCACCAGACAGTATCATTTCTGTATAGAACGATCATTAGATTTACAAAAATGTTGGCTGACATAGAAAAATTCTTGCTAACTATTGTTTCCAGAACTTATCTTCTGGCAAACAAGGAGGCACTGTTGGAAGGAAGCAATCACAGGGATGGAGGAGTTCCAGTGCTGGGGCTTATAGAATCTAAAGAACACTCTGGAGGTGAGTGAGCCAGTTCAGAGAATTAAAGAAAAGGTTTAAACATTTCACCATAAAGAATGGAGGAACCAAGAACCAGCTGTGACTAAAAGAAATCATTTCACATGGTACCCAATTAATATACTAATTATATTTTTCTATTAGTTAAAAATATAACTTAAATAAAGAAAATATTATAATCATTTTGACATCTCCATTTTTGTTCTTTTTTCTTTGTTTTATTTATTTATTTTTTGTACCAGGAATCGAACTTAGGACCTGGCACTTGCAAGGTAGGCACTGTGCCACTGAGCTAAATCCCCTGCCCTTTTGCTAATTGAATTATAAATTCATTGGAATGACAAGGTACAATGCATTTGTTTTTAGAAGAAACTGAAGATGGAGAAAACTGCTTAGTTTATGCTCCATAAAGATGTGATTTGAGAAAAACTCTAAAAGGCATAGTTGCAGTAATTACTAACCAAAGATAAGTGTGCGCTAATTTCCTTGATCCCAGGGTTTAGGAGTAGGAATAGAGAAGTCTGTGTGGGTTTGAGAAAGCCCCAGCTCCAAGCAGTAAAAGGTCCCACAATTACGATATTCTGAAAACTGATTTTAGTCCAACAACTAGAAATTGATAATTTTAAAACTCCCTTTTAGATGGATCTATAGTATGATAAAAATGTATGTTTCTTGGGTAAGAATTTATAATCCCACTGCTATTCTTTCAGTGGAGTGAATCTCCCAGGTAAATATTAAGCTACAGGAAGACAAAGCTCTCTCCTGAATCATTCAGTCTTACACTTTCAGAGTTTAGCAAGGGTCACAGATATTGCGAATGAATGAAAGATAAGTGATTGAACATTGAATGATAATCTTGCCCCTGCTCCCTACTGTTCCCTAATTTATGATAGAAATTGCCCCAAACTCATGAAGATTGTTTTGATGGATTCCACCTCACACTTAGCCTTATAGTTTTTCTTAACACGTGTCTATTAAACATTCACAAATGTCCTTTCTGGTCATGCGCTCTCTCAGCTTGAATTCAAATAAACCAATTCACACAATGAGAAAAAGGAGCAGAAGGGCAATGCCATTTTATACTATGACCCACAGTAAAAGTAACAGGAAAAAAAAGCTTCTAATTTGTGGCATCTCATGACATTTTTCTGCAGGAAATAAAGGGAGATTTTGGCAATATAAAAAGAATAGTGAGTTTTTGGAGTCATTTCTGCTGATGGTAAATAATGTGAGTGAAATAGTCCTCGAAGAGAATTCTCACTCAGAAGGAGCCATGGGTTCTTCCATGACTGTGTGAACCACCAAATTCATAATGCTCTTCTCTTCCCACTTCAGAGACAATATCATTTTGCCACAGGCCAGTGAATTTAGTGCAGTCATTTAGCAAAAGCACAGCACTGTAAATACAAGGATATTTTATTTTAGCTTTTCAATGATCCACATCTGTGTCCTATTATTAATCCTCTCTCTATCATTCATCTCTGGACCATTCAAGAAAAGGCACTATGGCATCTACACTTGAGGAGAGAGTAGGATGCAGATTTCTGTTCTGAATTATTTCCTGAGCTTCCCCATTATTTACAGAGATTCCTGAAATGCAAACTACCAGTGTTATCAGGCAAAGGCAGATCCCCTGAGCTTTTTATCATTCTGGTTGCAGTTTTGCATATTTCCTTTAAAACCAGACAGCATACCAAATGAAGCTAGATTCTTTAAAGGGAAAGGAGGCAATTGGAATGTCAATTTTATTTTGTAATATATTGTAAAAACTAAACAGCATATCCGGTTGAATGACAAAATCTATCCTACTGTTCAAAGCAAAACAACTACCTCAAGAGGTACAGTTATGCAGCTCTTACTTTTACCTACAGGAAGATATTTAAAAGAGAGAGAGACAGAGAATATTGGAGCAGAACGCTACATCCAGAATTGTCTGACTGACAAAATTTAGGAGTGTGGGGGACTCAGAGGCAAAGACTTCATGTCATATTTGCTTTCTTCTTCTTCAGTGAGCCTTTTAGCTTCTTCCACAGACTGTCTTTTCTCTTCAGTTTCTTTTCCATCAAGGATGACACGGATTCCTTCTTACGAATTTCTCTCACTAAGCCATGAAAGGCATCATCAATACAGAATCTGAGGGCAGCAGAGGTCTCAAAAAAAGCACAATTATATTCTCTGGCAAGACTCCAGCCTTCTTCTGTAGAGACCTAAAGGAAAAATAAATTATATTAAAAAGAGAGGCAGGGAGAGGCTCTGGAATAAAACAAACAAACAAACAAACAAAAAAGCAAAAACAAAAAGCAAGTCTTTTCTAGAATCTGTGAGCTTTGGTTTAAAGAGATAAATGCATAATCTGAGAATTTGTTTTGAGGAAGACTCCTAGACCTTCTGATCGGGAAAGACAAATGAGAAATCAGAAGCAAAATGACACCATTTTAATAAGTATCTCTCTACTCCAGCACTGAGAGCATGTTTAAGGCTTCATGAGCCCATTTGTGACACTTCCCATGCTGTGGTGCATGCAGTTGTACAAGATCTTCTAGAGATTGTACACTGACTACAGCAAGGTCCCTCGCCCCATTTCTTGTCCGTTTTGTATCTACCAGAGCTCTTAATACCTGTGAACATTAGAGGTATTCAAGAGTTTAAAATAATGATCAAGAAAATTACTCAAGGTTTAATAATAATTAATACGTGAAAATAAATTATGCACACATATTTGAAGTCTAGATTGTGTAACCATAACTCATGTTAACATTTCTGTTCAAAATGTAGTGTTCCCATAAAGCATCAGTCTGGGGTCTGAGGGATGCAGTTAGAACTCCAATGATTAGACCTCCCCCATATACCTATGTTTGATATAAGGCATAATTCAGAAAGAATTATTATTTTAAGCTGTTGACATTTGCTAATTGTAATCAGAACAAAAAATAGATTTTAAAAGATGGCTGCACCATGTGGCTAGAAAGTGGTTGAGCAGAAGTGAAAAAAATCTAACAGGTCTATGACACCAAAATGCACTCTTCGCTCTGATCCATTACAGATTAGTTTCACCAAGAGCTTTAATGCAGAGATGAGGAGTTGTCATGTTTTAACCTGTAAAGACATTGTGTAGGTTTTGTGCTCTCTCTTTCATTGTTGCTGGTAAATACACCAATATTTTTTAATGTGTTCATTTTTATTTTCTAATGGTTAATATGTATCTTAAAAACTGACTAAAGCTGCTAACATTCTGTTTTACCAGTAGTTAAACAGTTATAAGTTTACTAAGTAACTTTTCTGCTTGACAAGTTATGACAAGTGATAATCTATTGTTTTGACATCGTGTAACATGGATTTCCAATTACTTTTTGGTCACCTATAAGAATTTTCCCACTTAGAAATATCACATGTCTGGCATCATTGTATATAGTAATCTGCTCTCATTAGGTTACATTTACATACCAAAAAAGCTTCAATATCTGTGTGATTTGAAAATATATTTGCTGTTTACATGAAGTGCTGCTTAGTAAATGGGAGTAGATTCTGGCAGCTTGAATACCCAGGCTGTTGATTGAGTGTAACTTTGTTCCATTTACCCTGTTAGTTTGGAAATAAAGCTTATAGAGCACTTCCTATCTTGGATATAATGATTCCATGATGGCAGGTTCACAAGGGGCAGAGATAATTTTACCCACATCCTAATGGTTAAAAGATGTATAGAGAAATAAAAACCATTAAGACAGGTTGTATACTCAGCTCACATTCAAGCATGGCCACATTGCCCAAAGGATTATGAAAAATAAGACTATCACAATCAAGTATTTATAAATTCAGTACATTCTCCACTTGAAAAAATAGATTTCCAGAGCTGACTTTTTAAAAATTACTTGCAGTTGCAATGCTTTAATTATAAAGATATAGAATGCATAGAAAAATCACACAAAAAGAAAGCTGAAATAGTGACGTAAACATCAGAGTTGAGAGTAAGTGAAAAAATTACTACAATTAAAAGAAATTATTTTATAATGATAAAAATATCAATCTACCAGGTACATGTGGTATCACATGTCTGTATTCCCAGCACTCTGGGAGCCTGAGTCAGAAGGAATACAAAATTGAGTCTAGTCAGGACAATTTAATGACTTCTAAGCACTACCCTGTCTCAAGATTAAAAAAAAAAAAAAATGGTTGGGGATGTAGGTCAGTGCAAAGGCCCTAGGTATAATCCAGAACTGGAAAAACATCAATCTCTCAGGAAGGCAATATATAAATTTATATGAACTAAAATATATTGCCCATTTATTTGAAAAAAAGGCCAAAATTGTAGTAAAATATTTTTAAGACATCTCTTTTTGGAACTGAAAGAATAAAGATGGGAAAGTTATAAGAATATAGAATATTTGAACAAAGAATAACATTATATATGTATGTTATTCTATATATGTTACATATATAGATGCATTCTATATTTGTTATGTATAACATTTATATACACATATACACACACACATATATATCCCCAGTGAGTAATACTTGAACATTTATAGCTATTGACTTCATACTAAACCAAGTTTCAAAATATTTTAAGGGATAAGTATCACAGCATATTCCCAAGCAAATTGAATTAAGTCAAAACTTAGTAAAACAACAGTCACCAGGAAATCCACAAATGTTTGGGAAAATATATTTCTAAACAGTCAAGAAGTATATGAAATTAGAAAATATATGGAACTGATTAGTGCAATGAAAGTGAAAATACAACACACCAAATCTTACAGGATTATTTAAAGCTTTAGATGATTTTTAACATTTCTTGTAAATTTTAGAAAAATGTAGACATTCTGATTTAATGAGCAAGCTATTGACTTCAATGGAGAACCTTAAATTCAGACAATGCAGCTTTAGTTACAGGACAGACAAATCAGCTGAACAATATAACAAAGAACCCAGAAAAACACCTGGCATATATTTGGGAACTTGATGAAGTCTTGAGTGGAATTCCATAACACTGAGAACTTAAAGTGTCACAATTGTGTCCCCCATTGCATTATCAGTTAGGGTTCCTTTTGACCAAGAGTAATGGGGTTATTTCATCTGGTACCAGAAGAGAATTTTGTAGTGGAGAGTAGAAGTAAGAAAAACATCGGAATTAAATCTTTAGGTAATTCTACATTTTTTTAAAGAATGCCTGAAAATTTTCATTTACTTAGACATGTATTTACATATATTCATATCTCTGCACATAATATTTACGTCCTAAATATTAAAATGTAAACACCATAAAAATCATTAAAGACATCAAAACTTAGTTAAAATTTAAGGTAATAATAAAACTCAAACTGAAATAAAGTTAGAAATCAAAATTCTATGTAGATCTTCTTAATGTCAAATGGTATATTTAATCGATGACATAATTGAATATTTGTGGCAAGTTGAAGAGTAACTCTGTGGCTACTCATGACTTTGTTAAAAAGTTTAGGAATTATGAACCCTCAATTTCAAAGCAGGAAATGTGTTTGTATATATTTTAGACTAATTATCAGAATATGAATTCTGTGTTATCTAATTGAGACTGACGCAATAATTTCCACATTCATCATCATGAAATATAAATAAAAATCAAACAGTGAAATATTTGATGTGTTCTATATTTTCTTTAAAACGTTCTTATTAGATCAGTGACTTGATCTTTTCATTTTTTTAAGAAAAATATTAAAGTGAGCACATAGTTTTTAAAACAAATTTCTACGTTCCAGTAAAATTCCATGAGGTACAATGCAGAAAAGAACACAGAAAAAAAGCAAACGTAGATATGGGAGCTTGGTATATTCTTGGCGTGGCATTGCGTCATACCAGTATTAACAAACTATGCATTTGTTATCACTAGTTTTGATCTTACACCTAGAGACTATGTATTCATTGGAGAACTTGAGTCCAACCATGTATAAAATGTCCAAATAAACACTAACTGTTACAGATGTTTGGGTTTTATGTTTAGTAATTATGGTCGGTTTGAGGCCACAGTTATTAAAATAGTATTAGAGGGAATAGTTTTAGGATCCCAACATTCCACCATGGCATTCTGACTGGTTCAGATCCAGAATGTATGTAAAGAAGTAGAAGTTTCCATTAGAATTTAAAATAAACCAAATTGAAATATTTCAAACATACAAGTTTAAATACCACATAGTTTATCTTATGTGAGAAGCCCAAAGTAGAAATAATCTAAAGAGCAAAATAAAAGGTAAATAATATGGAGTAGATCTTTTTCAATTGGAAAGGGGAACATGACATAAAGCGAAGGTGGAGGAACTGGAAAGGAAGAGGAAGTAAAAAGAATTATTATGTTTTATTACATATACCGATTCCACATGATGAATGTGATCACCTATTGCAAGGTGTATTCATGAAAATTTAAAAAACAAAAACAATGATTTTAATATACCTTATCCAAATTTCAAGTTAAATCTAATATTTTAAATCACTAATATTTATGTACATCATATTGCAACTTCTCAGAACTAGAAGGGAATTAAATTTTCTTATTTTTTAAATCAGGAGTTTCACACCCAGAAAGGTTAAAAACTGGTTTTAAATGATTCAAACTCGCACATCTAATTAAGTAACACATCCATCAGATTCTCTTTCCATCAAGCATTTTTTCCAATTCTTCTTTTGTTTTTCATAGGGCCTTTCTAGGATTTCTTCTTAGTATTCCATATATATTTAATGGATGATTCTGGTGTAAGGTTTTAGGATGATTCTTGGAATAGTAAATACGTGGCATACAGTATTTTATATTGTATTTCTATAGAAAGCAAATTTTCAGAAAATACCACAGAAGGTCGAATAAACGCTGCAAAATAATTATTTGTGTGGGTTGAGGGCAAGCGATGGTGATGCCATTTTAACCCTGTGCCCCTCCATTGCAAATATTGGAGGTTGATGATTTAATGTGCCACCTGGAGGCTTCAGAAGGCAATAGCAGGAAAAAAAGAAAGTATTTCATACAGGTGATAGAAAATTTCAATAACCCAAGGCGATCATCTTTTTAATATATATGACCTTTTCACCTAGGAAGATCGCCGTGTAGTACACCAGTCACTCCATGAAATGCCGTTTCCCATCTGCCAGAGGAGGCATTAGCGTGCGCAGTCACAGCTGCATGGGGCATTGATGAGACCGCTGAGGCACAAAACAAGTGGAGCTATTCTAGACCAGGCCC